AAAAAGAATATATATATATATATATATACACACACACACACACACATACATACGCACACACACAGAGTAAAATAAAATCCATATACCAATAATACAATATATTTATTTATATATACATCAGATTTGTGAATTGATATTCAAGTATCTGTCAGTGTAAAGGTCACAATTTATTAGACAGCCCGAGACCTTTTTAAAAAAACGATAAGGGGTAAAGTCCCTGATACACAGTTGACTAGTTGCTATGGGCAGCAAATGAAATACATTTTCTCTATAACTAGACAACCAGGACATATAATTGATTCTATATTATCCACAAAGGGTTAACAGACTCTCTCAACCCTGCAGCAGTGCCTGTACCTGCTCTCAATAGTAGTCTATGTGCAGCAAGTAGAGTCTTCCTTCTGAGAGCCAAGCCTCGTGGCTCTCATTAGGGAAGAATTACCAAAAATTTTGAAAAAAAACCTGTTTCCACTATAATAAGTTATGAAACAGTTATTTCTAACCAATTGTTTGGTAAAAGACAGGGTCACGTCGAGTAAATAGACACCAAACATGTCAAGCCTCAAAATTGCAAGCCCCCGCGAAACCGCAAAAAATGACAATATCCAAAATTGCTCACAGGCGACAATTTAAAAGCTTTTACTGCTCATCAGCTTAGTGATATCAGTGATTGATGGTCCCATAATTATTGCATGCACTCCGACATTCGCGGTGATATGTAACATGTGCAGCACAATTGTCGTTTTAGCGTGTTGGCGCACCCGACGCGTATTTACATGTGCCTATACGTGGAAACGGGGGACTTAAAAATTGGGGGAGTTTCCTGTAAAAAATTTTTTATATGTGACTTTTATTTTTGTTTACATCCCCTAATGTCACCTGGGGACCCCCAAAGAAGCTGATGAAGCACAGATCTGCTTCATCAGCTTCTTCTCTAGCTATAGCAGCCAGAGAAATGATAGCTGAATGCGGAAGCAGGTGGGAGAAAGCTGATCTCCCTCAGATCCTCCTGCTGAGAAGCTGGTCCCGAGCACGCAGAGGGGACAGCGGAGCCAGGGATAACTGGTAACGGCGGCGCACTGCTGGGCACATACAAGCGATCGGATGGCTATAGAGCTGCCTGAATGCTTGTATGTAATAGCTGTTACCCGCTGTTTACACTTGTGAACGTGTTCTGCTCGTGCATGCGCAAGTGGGCACGCGCGAGCAGACAAAAAAGCTGTATATTACAGCGCCCCACTGGAAAGAGTTTGGCTTCCGTCCGTTTATTTACAACGGGCAGATGGCAAGTAGTTAAAGGAGAACTATGAGGCGAGTGCTTTTCACTCACCGCATAGTTCTAGCCGACCTTTGACAATGAGACTGTCACAGGTCGGCTTACTAGATTGGGAGGTGAGCGAACACATACCGGCGTTCGCTCACCTCTTGATCCTGTCACGGCTCTCTGGCTGGATTCCCCCCTCCCCGCCAGCGCTGACTGGCGGAACGGACGAGGGAGGGTACAGCTGGCTCTGCCTCTAGATAAGCAGAGCTAGCTGTCAGTCACGCAGCTGGGCGGATCCCGGCACAATTGTCGGGATCCGTTTCAGCTGCGGCGTCTTAGTATACTGAGCTGCAGCTCGCGGCATACTGAGCCTAGGGTGACGGGAGGACGCTAGTTTGTGTCCTCCCGTTACCCTAAGGAGAACTATGGGGAAAAGCCTTAACCCCATACTTCTCCCTTAAGGATCTTCTGTGTTTGACTCTTCCGGGTGTGTTGGATGCTGGGGTTTCCCGCTGCACTGTGTGGTTTAACCCGCAGGCCCCTATGTCACTGCAGAACACAGCGTCACTGGAATGAACCACAGAATGCAGCAGGGAACCAGGCACCAACACAACCTGAAGTGTGCAAAGTACTGGAAATCTTTGAACAAGTTTCTCTCTTCAACCCAGCGAAGCCTGGCTGTACAAGCAGTTGGACAGGTATGACTTGGCTTGCTTTCAGGGAGGCATTTGTTTCATGTTTAAAAAATAGTGACATTTTCTCTACAACGGTGTGTAAAGCGCCTTATCTTTTAATACCTTTTAAGTGTCCGCCAGGTATTACACACTTCATGATAACCCAACACAGCACACAGTTTGTTGCCTACCGACAAAGAAAATGTGAAAGTTATAAGACCATTCCCTATGACCAGCACCGGGCTATTATAACTTTATCTCATTAAAGAGCGGGAATACCTCCGTCAGCTCGCAACACAACTTCGCACGCTCGCCACAAGGAGGCGAACAGCGCGAGGGCCAGTCATGTGACAACTATAGACGTCACACTTCCTCTTTTTCGTGAGACATTTTGGAAGTTTGCCTTTTCCGGGTCTCCGTACACAATTCCTTGACTGGCCTGTTCGTAGATTGGCTGCGGAAGCTGGTTTCTTATTCGCTGCTGCTGCCATCTTGTGGTTGGCAGAGGCCTCTCTTTCCCATTGGCCACCGCGGTTATACTTGCGGCATTCAGTGTGATTGCACGGCTCCGGGGTGCAGGATGGTAAGATCTCCGTTACATAGAACCGTACAGTGACGCAGCCCTGTACTCCGCTCCTTTCTTACAGCGGGCGTTTGCGTGCTCTCGATATTCGGGCAAGGGAGGTCCGCTTTACGGCTACGGAGGGACTTCGGCCTGGGCTGCATTGAACGATTACTGAGATGGGTGGTGGTGCTGTCATATGATCTCAGTCATGGGGCTGAGCGCACTCATTGAAACCTTCCCGCAGGAGTTCAGCGGTCCTGATGCCTATTATTTGTAATTTATTCATGCTTATCCGTCTTTACCAATGCTGTAAACTCATTTCTGGGGATACGTGGCTTCTGAAGTGCTCTATGGGCAGATAGATTGTAGGACTTGAGGATGGGATCCAGGGTGCTGTAGGGGCAACATTTCTTCTCCTAGATTAGCAGGGAAGAAAACAGGGGCAAGTATTGCTTCTTGTTCATAATAGACCTGAAATTGTTAAGGAACACTGAGAGAAAATTAGATTTATAACAGCGGGCAACATTTGGATCCTCATTGGGTCACCTCACGCTCTTCGGAACTGTCAGACAGAACCTGTGTAAGTGTACCAGTAATACCCCGATACAGCGATGATCGGTACCCGGTAATATACAGCGCTGATCTCTGATCGGTACCCGGTAATATACAACGCTGATCTCGTAATCTGTACTCTTTAATCTACAGAGCTGATCTCTAGTCGGTACCCATTAATATACAGTGCTGATCTCTAGTCGGTACCCATTAATAAACGGTGCTGATCTCTAATCGGTACCCGGTAATATACGGCGCTAATCTCTAATCGGTATCCGATATTATACAATGCTGATCTCTAATCGGTACCCGGTAATATACGGCGCTAATCTCTAATCAGTATCCGATATTATACAATGCTGATCTCTAATCGGTACCTGGTAATATACAGCGCTGATCTCTAATTGGTACCTGGTAATATACAGCGCTGATCTCTGATTGTTCCCCCTCCCTTTCATATTGTTAGCCCTCAGGGGCATGGCCCTCCTTACCATCTTGTCTTGATTTGTAATGTCTTCCATATATTGTAAAGCGCTGCGCAAACTGTTGGCGCTATATAAATACTATGTAATAATAGTACTCGGTTATATACAGCGCTGTCCTCTAACCAATACCTGGCAATATACGGTGATGAGCTCAAGCCAATACCCCATAGTGTACAGTGCTGATCTCTAAACAATACCTGGAAATATTTGATACTGATCACCAACCCATATTCCATAATGTACAGTGATGAGCTCTTAACCATTATCCCATAATGTAGGGGGCTGATCACTACCCAATACCTCATAATGTACAGTGATGAGCTGTAACCAACACCCCATAATGTATGTGGATGAGCTTTAATGTGCCGTGCTGATCTCAAACTATTTCCTAGTAATGTACGGTGATCTTTAAACGATACCCCAAGATTTACAGCACTGATCTCTAATCAATACCTTTATATTGTACATAGCTGATCTCTGAACAATACCTAGTAATTCCTAGTCAAATGTACTCTTCCCAATACTTAGAGCCAGCGTGTGACACTATTACAGTAGTCGGTGGTGAAAGAAAAGGGGTTTCTGTCATAATAGAAATATGGGCACCTGCTTATTCTGAAAACTGCAAGCTCTTTCATTCTTATATTTGGGTAAGCCAAAAAAGTCAAGACTCCCGTTTGGCAAAAATGATCTGGGTCGAAGATTACCAGACTATCAAAGCAAGGGAAACTGGTGGGGGTGACTGGGTGGGGTTTTTTCCTGCTGAGGGTACCTCCAATCAGCTGAGTGTGAATAAAAAATATTTAGGAGGTTCACCCTCTCTTTTTGTGCTGATGATCACTATCATTGAGACAGAAAGTGAGGGGAGAACCATATTCTCATCCATAGATAAATGAAAGGCATGCACACATTTGACTTGACCTGTAAAGAAATAAATAGGGTGCAGTTGGCAGTAGTGCAGCAAGTCTATATGTAAATACCTTGGCTAATCGTGCCGTCCAGACCCCTGGATGACAACACAATACTCCTAGTTTTCTTACATATTCTATACATGATAGATGAGTTCTACATTTCATAACTGACTTGCATGTTGCTCCAAATTGAATGCATTAACTGTAGTGCATATACATTATATGCTTTGAACATGTTCTCTTTAAGACCATAATGATTGAATATATTCTTTTTCAAGTATAATTGAATATATGCATTATACACCTTCATTCCTCATGGAGAACATGGTTCTATAGATATTAAGGCGCAAAGTGCTGTCTGCATATCCACAGTATTCTTCAGATCTTTTTTATTTATTTATTTTCTGCTTTTTAAAGGATCTTCTTAAATCATATTCTTTCCTAACATCCCAAATCGTTTATTTTTTTTGTATTCATTTTCCTAATTTTGTTACCCATTTTCTTTTGCTTTCTTTTATTTAACATCGCTCATGTTTCACCCTTTCATACTCCCTTGTCTGCAATCAACTCCTCCATAAGCCTGGGCACAGAGTAAGTTTACTTCTAATCGTACACTAACACTGCTGAGGTGTGATTGGATTCCTGTATCTTTCCTTCTGTACTAGCAATCATAATCATTTTCCTATTACAGCCTAAACATATAATGAAGCTCACTGTCAGTTTCCAGAGCCCTTTGCAGCCAATTGTTTTTTTTTTTCTGGAAAACAAGCAAAGGATGTGCTTCTAAGTTTAATGCCTTATCCTTGGTAAACTGGCCATACAATTTCTTAAGATTTTTGTTGTTCAGCCCACAGAGGTTTCTGGATTCCCTCATCCATGCTAAAGAGTGTGGATAGAGAAATCTTCCCTGCCGGTTCTGTATTTTATATGCATATATACAGTCCAATGAGAGTGTCAAACAAGACCTAGTCTTGTCCAGTTTTAAAGCACCACTCTGGGCAAATCAAATCTTAACCCTTGCAGTGGGGCAGTTCCTGCACTGCAAGAGTTAAGTGCTCATTTTGCCTATGGAACTAAAATAACAGTTATACTCACCCAAACCATGATCCTGGTTGGCTCCTAGACTGCTCCCTCCAGCCTCGTTTCCCCTCTGCTCCAGTGATGGTATGTATCTTGGCATCCTCACGTTCTATACACTGTATAGAATGTGATGACTCAGGGAGCTTAGACAGCTGGAGTGGAGGGGGAGCGAGACTGCAGGGAGCGATGTAAGAGCAAACCGGGATCGTGGTTCAGGTCAGTATAACTTTTTTTTTTGGTTGATAGACAAAATGAGCACTTAAAGGAGAACTACCGTATGAGGTGAGTGAAAATCACTCATCCTCATAGTTCAAGCCGATGTGTGACAAACTGTTACACGTTGGCTCAATAGATGGGGAAGTGAGCGAACACATACCGTCGCTCGCTCACTTCTCAATCATCTCCCTGCAGAGAGCCGTGACTGTCAGTCACGGCTCCCTGCAGCGATTCCCCCGCTCCGATCCTCCAGCGCTGACTGGAGGAACAGACGGGAGAGGGGGCGGGGACACCTGGCTCTGCCTCTAGATAGGCAGAGCCAGCTGTCACTCACACAGCTGGGAGGATCTCGACAGCATTGTCGATCTGTCCCGGCTGCGGCGGTCTCAGTATACTGCAAGCTGTTGCTTGCGATATGCTGAGCTTTGGGTCACTGGAGGAGGTTAGTATATGTCCTCCCGTGACCCTTAAGAGAACTATGGGGAAAAACACTTACCCCATAGTTCTCTTTTAACCCTTGTGGTGCGGAGGCTGCCCCACTGCAAGGGTTAAGATTTGATTTGCCAAGAGTAGTGCTTTAATAATGGAATGGGTTCGTAAACAACAACACAACAGCCAAGGCGTTTCATCAGTGAATTGGAAAAACTGTATTTTGACAGCCTGCGACTGTCAGAATGCCCGAACAGTAATTGCAGCTGATTTTGTTTGGCCGACAATTTTTCACCCAGCTCCTTTGACAAAATCAATTAAAAAAGAAAAAAAAAAATCAGTCAGGTATTGCCGGCAGGGTCACCCACGGATTCAAGTTTGTGTGATTCAGCCGGCAACGGGCACAATTTGATCCATGTATGGCCAGCTTTAGCTTGACTTTATATGTACCAAACTGGTTCATCAGTAACTGCAGACAATCCATAGTAGGTATATCATTGAATTTCAGACACGTGGAATGTTTTATTTTTTTCAACGATTGCTTTTCTTTGTGTCTGTTATGTTACTAATTTGCATGTCTACGTTGGAAGAAATCTGTATCACATTTTCCCATGGAGAATCGACGTGTCTACATTGATCTAAAAGTTCTGTAAAAGCTATAACTACAGAGACACATTTAAATCAATATGGTGTATGTGTGGCTAAAAAAAATACTGTATTTAAAGCAGAACTCTGGGCAAATCAAATCTTAACCCTTGCAGTGGGGCTACCCTCACACTGCAAGGGTTAGGTGCTTGTTTTGGTTATACTCCCCCGAACTGCCATCCTGATCCTGTGAGTCATCATGTCCTATACAGTGTATAGAACATGAGGATGCTGAGGGACATTCAATCCTGGAGTGGAGGAGGAGACAGGCTGGAGGGAGTGGTGTAGGAGCCATCTTAGGATCACGGTATAGCTAGACAAAATGAGCACTTGACCCTTGCAGTGTGGAGGGCTGCCCCACTGCAAGGGCTAAGATTTGATTTGCCCAGAGCTCTGCTTTAATAATGTTTTTATGCATTTATTTATAAACAATATGCTGTTGTGAAGTGTATTTGTAAATTCAATTTAAAGATGCATGCTCTCCATGGGAGATATTGGACACTTTTAATTGCCTTTCCTTTGCACCTTGGACTTGCAGACTTCTAACATTTTGATGTAGTTGTTTGGAAATTCTGCCAGTTTGTCTGATTGCTACTTAGTAGTGAATGTTGACCTTGTAGGAATATTCAGATTGGATTTCACCCAATAATATAAAAGGTTTGACCACCTCAGGGCATGCCTAGCAAATTGCAGGGGCCAATAGAATTTGCATAGGGACTTTGCAGGGGCGGTAGTGGGAATCTGGGGAGCGAGCAGTGAAGGTAAGTAAAGGCACAGGAGGGTACCTTTTACACAGGGTTTAGTATGGGGTTTCATTTATAAATACAGGTTCGCTTTTAGGCCTCATTCACACTACTAAGAGCCGGCCCACACAGATCCATGTGGCGTGCACGGCCGTACTGGGCTGCTCCCGGGAAGGACAGGTGCTGCGCGTGATTGTACGCAGCAGCCTGTTCTTCTCTACGGGAGTACGCGGCCGTACGCTCACCCAAGCTGCACATCCGTCTGCGTCCAAGCACAGACACCCGCACAGACGTGCAGTTCGGGTGAGCGTACGGTGCGTACTCCCATAGAGAAGAACAGGTTTCTGCGTACAATCACACGCAGCACCTGTCCTTCCTGGGAGGGGCCCTATATGGCCGTGCACGCCGCACGGATCTGTACATAGGCCAGCTCTTAGCAATGTGAATGAGGCCTTACATGTGTGATGACAATGTTTCTCAAATTTTTCACTTTTTTCTTAACTTAGGCCTTGTTCACACCAAATGCAGAGCAGATCCGGTCAGGTTTCTGCACAAGCACGCTAGTCTTTTAGATGCGTTTTTGGCTAAAAAAAACCAAAACATTTAGTTTAAAATGGGCTTTCAGTGCGTTCCAGGCATTTGCATGCATTTTTGTTGTGTTTTTGATGCGTTTGCAGATCCAGAGCAGGTAAAATAGGGCCTGCTGCAGTTTTTTTTACCTACTCAGGATCTGCACGCTGCGATGTCAACTGGATCCAGTCTGCACATGCTCTGCACCTGCTCCGCGCTTGGTGTGAACTAGCCCTTAGTAGAGGGTATAGTAAATTGTTACGGTCTTACAAAAAAACTTATTCAGAATGGATGGCGCTTTGTATAAACATTGGCAAAATATTTTGCATTATTTCTATGTATTTTAATGTGGTGATTTCTTTTTTTACTTCTTTAGTTGGTCTTGGTGTTAGGAGATCTACATATCCCACATCGATGTAATAGTTTGCCAGCAAAATTCAAAAAATTGCTTGTTCCTGGGAAGATCCAGCATATTTTATGCACTGGGAATCTCTGTACCAAGGAGAGCTATGACTACCTCAAGACACTGGCCGGGGATGTTCACATCGTCAGAGGAGACTTTGATGAGGTTCTCATTATCTGTTATCAACAATTCTGCTTACGTGTGTTTACGTAACTATTTCATGGCCATACATGGGATGTGATTGTTGTACAACACAACCTTCTTATGTATGGAATGCAATTGTTGCAAGAGATTAATACATTTGCAAAATTCTCATCCAGATTTCTGTGCATCTTTGCCAATTAAAGCTAAGATTGATAGTGATAATTTGAAGATCCCCATTGACAGTATGGTGATATCGCCAAACATGCTCTGAATAGTGGATCTGAGTCCCAAGGAAAAGGGGGATCTAAGGGTACGCACACACCAGATGCAGTGCGTTCCGGTCCGATTCTGGCCGGAATGCACTGCAACGCATTGCTGCTGGCTCACTTTTTTGTGGGGCAGGAGGGGGCGTGGCGGGCCATTGAAGTTAATCCGGCCGCAATGCGATTGCCCGCACAGGATCGCAAGGCACATTGTGCCTGCGGTCCGGTGCGATCAAAATAGTGCTTGCAGCATTTTGATCGCACCGGACCACAGGCACAACGTACCCGCACAGGTTTTAAAGACTAGTGTGCAGCGAAGGACAACAACCAAAGATCCATGGATGGGCAGCAGACTCTAACCAGCCTCATAGAGGGGCTATTTAGTGATCTACAGCCCTCCTCTCATTTTGAATAAATCCCTTACAGTGGATGCTGCTCCTTGATGTTTAAAGTATTCGCTTCCTGCAGAATAAGCTGGTTCCCTGATCACTGGCCCTGATATCCTGTTTTAGGGTTGTCCTATAGAGCCACCCTTTTGTGTGCTGGTAAGATGGGTGTATCTCCCCAAAAACACAGGCACAGCAGAACAAGCCATTCCCCTCCTCTTCCCTTGTCCAAGCTAGTAGATGAACAGCTGCTAGAGACTGTGCTCTCCTTTGTAATCTTCTAATGGAGAGGAAGTTCAGGGAAACAGACCTCAAAAAATTGGAGCCATCTGTACATGAGTGTAAGAGATAGAGCAAACATTTAGAAAAATACTTTTCTGGCCAATGTATGCTTATTTAATCTGAATTATTGAAACAAGACTTGAGAATGTATTACTACTTTAATGCACATTTCTAATATGGAATAAGCATGTAAGTAAGCCTTACCCGAGTCAATATGTTAGATTTAGCAAAGTAATCATTCTAAAGTTCATGCAGTCTGAAAACTGGGCTCCTGTTCCTTGCACAGACATTTGTCCTATGTGGAGTTCTCCTTTAATCTATCTCTTCCTTTTTTCCCTTAGAACTTAAACTACCCAGAACAAAAAGTGGTGACTGTTGGGCAGTTCAAGATTGGCCTAATCCATGGCCACCAGGTCATTCCCTGGGGTGACATGGCTAGCCTGGCGATATTGCAGAGACAGCTTGATGTAGACATAATGGTTTCCGGACATACACATAAATTTGAAGCATTTGAGCAGGAAAACAAGTTTTATATTAACCCTGGATCTGCCACAGGAGCTTACCATGGCTTAGATAGGTGAGTTCTATCTTGCCTGCTTTGGTTTAGAGGGTAACTTCAAGTTTGTGTTTTCTTATAATTGACTTGTATAAAAGGTAATAAAAGAAATGTGGAGGTGCTGGCTACGGAATCACCTCTATTTCCAATACTCTGGTATTTGAGCCTGCACTTTTTATATTGGTGTAGGTCAAATTTTAAGATGTTTTAGGTGCAATTCAAAGCTTTAAATCAACCCTGTGGCTAGCGGGTGACAAAGCTAATCTTCACTCTGTTGCAGAGCTACAGCCACTGCTGCCATCTGACACTTCTCAATGTGTTGGGTAGCACCCCTCCACATGCTGTGGTTTCACCCCCTAACATTTACATTATTACTGTGACCTGTTGATGGGAGAAACCACAGCACATGGCTGGAGACCAAGTAACCTTGATACCCAAGTGTTGGATGGCAGCGGTGGCCTTAGCACTTTACTGGCATGTACAAGTGATCACTTCTTCTAAGTAGAGAAAAGCAAGCTGAATAATTTTAAATAAGAATTATCACAATAACTTAAAAATAATTTGTGGTTCCCACAGTGGACTGCATGCATGTAGCACTCGGTCCTGCTTAGATCTGTGCTGTTGTATTCTAAAAACATATCACGGTCACTGCTGACTGTAGCTCCACCCCTGACCAAGGCTCAAAGTATGAGCATTCCCATAGGGAAGGCACAGCCAGCATTGAGCCCCGCCGCCCCCTCTTGGTGCTGTGTGTTCCAATTCAGAGTAATGCGTCTATGATCATGTCATCCAGAACAGTAGGAATATTCTGGCTCACCTAATTACAGTACATTATTCAGTGCGTGTAAACAGGCATGCCACATAGATGTGCAGTCCAGATCCATGTACTGTACTTGTATACTGTGTTCTGTACTGACACTGATCTTGTACACAAGATTGGGGTCTGCTTCCTCTGCCGTACCTGAGTGCTAGCTCCTCTCTTCAGGTTGCTGCTCTGTGTCCCAGCGGGGAGGAGAGAAAATGTCACAGGAGGCCGAGCGGTGCGGGAGGAGGAGAGTGCTGTGAGGTGGCCGGCGTCTCTCCTCCCCGTACCACTCAGGCTCCTGTCATAGATCAGGAGAGCGGCAGTGTAGGGCGGAGAAAGCTGTCACAGGAGGCCAGGCCGCGGTGCGGGGAAGGAGTCACCTGTCAGATCGAGCTCTCCTCCCTGCACCACTCGCTCAGCCTTCAGAATTGATGAAATGCTTAAATGCATAACTATTTTGTTATTGTCTTAATGTATTGACTCCAGAGGGTCAGAATGGACATATTTGGCTCTTACTAAGGGAGTTGATTATCTTCACACAATAATTTGTGTGAATATTTACTTCAGTTATCTAATTATGTGGAAATTGCATTGCCTTTTGAATACTCAATCTGTAAATTAGGTAAACAGAAATTTGCTTTTCATATGATTAGATAATTAAAGTAAATATTTAAACATGGTTTTGTGTGAAGATTCTCAACTCCTTTAGTAAATTGGCCTCTATCTGTGAACTGAACCCCAGGTTTTAACCATTTACAAGTCAGGGAAATCTAAATGTAATTGATGATGAAAACAATGACTGTAAATATACATATATTTACACAGCCATCGTATAAAGTTGATTTGATTTTTAACCTGTTCTATTTTGTCTTACAGCAACATCATTCCTTCCTTTGTACTCATGGATATCCAAGCATCAACAGTAGTTACCTACGTGTACCAGTTAATTGGGGATGATGTGAAGGTAGAGAGAATTGAGTACAAGAAGTCCTGAAATTGATGTTTTTATGGCCTTTATTCTTCATTCCCATTTATTATTAAATCAGTCTTCACCTCCAGTTATCATAAGCCTTGTATTCCTAATTGCATTGTAAGGCCATTTTTCGTTCTTCACTGATGTAGTTTTAATGTAAACAATACAGTGATGATTTATTAGTTTACATGTCATAAGATAAGTGTGCCACACTGAATAACTGTGTAAAAAGGAAACCATTTGTAAATATAACATAACATTTAATGTTGACATTCACTGATATGTTACCATAAAAAAAATACTAATTAAAATGGAAAAGTGCTTTCTATGTCTTCAGCTTTAGTGATCTAATGTCTTTTGTTATTGCAATTTTTCTTGTGAATGGATGACTGACCACTTATGTTTGATTTGACACATAAATAGAACTACGTGTAAATGTTAGCTCATAATAGAGTTTTGGCTACTTTAAAATCTTCTATTTAACCATTGCAATATGAACAGTTTATATGACGTATCTCCTCTCACATGATGAATAAATATCTTCTATAGTACCTTTTTATCTAAATATTAAGACTTGGTAACATTTTTGAATTGGTGCAGGTGAGCAATGGACAGTTTAGAACTAGGGGGTGATGAGAGGTATTGCTGTCCATTGGCAGAAAATATTTTTGTACAGAGATGTTCCTAGCTTTTTGAAAGCTCTGCATGATGGTGGGGTTATACTTCCTTTATCTGCTGCTTTTGTACATCAGTCAATAGTGGAAAGACACAAGGTTACTGGTGTGTTTTAGTCCTTATTAGGGATGCACCGATACTGGTTTTTCGGTATCGAGTACCGATATTTTGCTTTCGGTACTAGCCGTTACCGAGTACAAATACCAGTGCTTCCACTGGCATAGAGCCGGCTTCCCAACCAATCGGGAAGCCAGGCAGCGAGTAATGGCCCTGCTTCCTGATTGGCCGGGAAGCCGGCTCCATGCTGATTGGCTGGGAAGTCTGTTTCCCAGCCAATCAGGAGGCGTGTCATTACTCGTCACCCAGGTTCCTGATTGCCTGGGAAGCCGGCTCCATGTTCCCATACAGAAGTTTCGGTATCCGGGAAGGTATCGAAGCATTTGGGTGAGTACTAGTATCGGTGCATCCCTAGTCCTTTATAGATCAGTGGTTCTCAACCTTTCTAGGGCCGGGACCCCTTGGTAACATTTGCCAAGATGTAAAACGGTAAATTTAGGGATGACGCGGCTGCTGCAGCTACATCTGGCGGCGTGGTGGGAGAACTGACACTGCTGCGCTAGGAGAGGGCTGAGGAAGACTCTCGCCTAGCACAGCAGAAATTACACAGCGACCCACAGGTTGAGAACCACTGCTTAAAGGAGACAACAAATCGCAGCAATAGTCCATTATAGTATAATGTTCTATTGCTGGGATTTGTAGTCCTCTATAGCTGGTGTTATTCTGCAGTGTGCTGTATAATGATTATACGGAGCACCGCAGAATAACGCCAGCTATAGAAGACTACAGCAAATCGCAGCAATAGTACATTTGTAGTCCTCTGTAGCTAGTGTTGTTCTGCATTGCGCTGTATAATTTATTATTGCTAGGATTTGTATATAGCTGCTGGTATTCTGCAGTGTGCTGTATAATGATTATACGGCGCAATGCAGAATACCACCAGCTATATAGGAATACAACAAATGCCAGCAATAGTACATTATACATACAGTGTAGGGATGCACTGATTCCAATACTAGTATCGGTATCTGTGCCGATGCCGAGTATCTGGGCGAGTACCCGTACTCGCACCAAATGCTCAGATACCTTTCCCGATACTAGAACTTCCGGTCAGAGGGACTGATACGTTAATGAATGTGATACAGATCTATGTGAGGGGAATTAGGTGCTGGGTCATGTCACCATATTGTCAGATCTGTTTGGCCGGCCTCGATGCCGATTGGCTGGGAAGCCGGCTTCCCGGCCGATCAGCATCCGGCCGGCCAAACAGAATGGAGTCGGCTTCCCAGGCAATGAAAGAAGCCTGCCTGATTGGCTCTATGCTACCGGAAGTGCCGGTATCGGTACTCAGTATCGACGAGTACCGAAATATAACTATCGGTACTCGATATCCTGAAAAACCAGTATCTGTGCATCCATATATGTAAAAAAAAAAAAACAGCGGAGAAAGTTTTGCTGTGCTCGATCGAGCAGGAGACCCCTGGCAAATAGTCATTCGACCCCCCATGTTGAACGCTGTTATAGATGAACTGTGTTGCCATAAGTACTTGTACTTTCTATATCTGAGGAACAGCTTTTATTAGCTAAACTTCATGCCCATGAGAGTCACACAACAACACCTTTAGAAACCTGAGTTTGATCAATCACTCAGTCGGAGCCCACCCCGCCCAGCTTCTCCTCCCTCCCAGAGATATGGCGAAGGCCAGGTGGCCTAGGACTTTATGGCCCATCACCTGATATGCTGCTTTGGTTCCGGGCCCTTTACTGAAAACACAGCTGCAGAACAGTGCCCCCTCCCAAAGTCTGTCAACTTCAAACAGCACCGGCAGGGCTGTCCCCTTTTTATTTCTAAAATTTACTTTAACCTTCAAGCCATTTCTGATAAAAATTGGAGCAAAACTGAATATCTATTGGTAACAAATACAAAGTTGTGGCGGCATTCAGCAATGATGGGAATTTGGAGAATATTGCTACTTTTCCCATTTTAAAATCGACCGCCAGAATTCTAATATCAGAGACTTTGAACTGAGAAACAAAAAACATTTTCATTACCCCTTTCTGGTGTACCATGGGCAAGTGAAACGGCACAATTGAACCTGAGAAAACATTCATTGATTGGCCCTACCCTTAAAACATTTTAATATCTTGGTAAAACAACCAATATCCTTCTCTTAGCTGTCATTGGCCATTATGGTTTCCCTCCCAGCCACAATAATAGTCCTTCTTGCTTTGACTGACTAGAACAAATCCTGAGCCAAAAGTTTTACCTCTCATTGGCTGAAAGAAATCACAAATGGACCCAAAAATCCCCTACTTGGGCTTCTGGAGGTATAAGCATCTTACGGACTTCTTTAACTTCCTCCCTAAAAGCAGCAAACTTACCCCCACTATGACTCTTTGAGGGGATTTGTGAACCCCAAGGACACACTCAAGGTGCTTTTATCCCTATTAGGGCTGCAACAACTAATCGACATAATCGATTATTGAAAAAGTTATCAACGTTTTCAATAATCGATTAATCGCCTTTTTTATAGTTTATCCGATTAACCGATTAATCGAACTTAATAATCGGCTAACTAATCGATTTTGAAAATAATCGTTAGCTGCAGCTCTAATCCCTATCCTACAAAATTATCTTGTCTGATCGCAACCTACGAGCAGACTCTTCTACAGAAATGGGAGAGGAATCTTGGTATGTCCTTCTCAAAGGAACAAAAAAGTATTTGATGATCCATCTTCTCAACGCTGCCAAAACGTTTATTTTCCGAGTACAAGGGAACACTCTTCTCCCCCTACCAATAGGACACAGAATTTCCAGAATAAATAACATTACTTCCCTCTAACCCCCTTCCCATACCCATCTTTGTCCCTTCATTTTGGAAATCATCCCCATTACATGCGCTATCATACAAGATGCCGTATATAATGCTTCCTATTTGTTAGATCATAACTTTGCTATGAGTGTTATATCACTTTGACCTTTAATTTTACAATATTTAGATTGTAAGCCCCCACGGGCAGGGCCCTCCTTACCATCTTGTCTAGAATTGTATTGTGATTGTAATGTCTTCCTTATATTGTAAAGCGCTGCGCAAACTGTTGTTGCTATATAAATCCTGTATAATAATAATATAATTGCATTGTTGAATGAATACCTGTCTTAAAGTACCTGTTTAATTTTTTTGTGTCATGTCAACAAAGCAAGCATAACGAATTTAAAAAATGAGCACCGAAGTCCCAAAATTTACTCATGCTTTTTAACGCACATGCATTAAAATTGAGAACCCCCCAATGAAAATGCATATCAATGCACACTGCACGTGAGTTGCAACATGTTTCAAAACACAATGTGCAATACAAAGTGGATAGCAATGTGTGTTTTCACATGCCTAAGAACGGAGAGGAGTGAATGCAGCCTTCAAATGCACAGATTATACTTCTTTCTGGGTAGAGGGAGCAAAGAAAAATGATTTAGTGTGTACTTTTAAACTGCTTTATACATTATGGAAGAGCACTCTTCTTCCTACAAACAACAAGGTACTGGAAAGCTGGTGACATACTATTACATTTTAAAACCTGTAAATTGCTCAATTTTATTGCCAGGGCATTTTGAAATACAACATGTACTCAAAGATGAAATTGGCAAATATAATTTATTCTTCCACACTACTACTACTACAAAGATTCAGATTGTCATTAGCAACAGTTAGTACATAGAGGCTTTCACTGTAAAGCATTGTACATCAGTGCCTAAAAGGCTCGTTCAGTCTACAAGATTTAGCCAAGTAACTGAATTCTGATCGGAGCTGCTTCATGTTGCCGTGTTGAAAATGCAGCCCTCTTGCCTGTGAATGGCTTCCCACGTAGAACAATATCAAAGAAGCAAAGAACAACGATACACAAATAATTGGGTGCATGCAAGCACCTAGTGCTCAAGTTCACAGCCTATGTTGGTGAGGCAAATGTTACTAAAGCTACTTGACAGCCATAAATACCAGCATATATTACTTGTTTTAACCACTTAAAGGCCATAGTGTTTCAGCCCCTTCCTGGCCAGGCCATTTTTCAGTATTCAGTGCTGCGGTACTTTGACTGACGTTTATTCCGTCATGCAGCGCTGTACTGAAACGATTTTCATACCATTTTTTGGGGACAGATAGAGCTTTCTTTTGGTGGCTTTTATTTTTTACTATATAACAAAAAAATGGGGGGGGGCGCGCACACCCGCAGATCGTGCAAGCAATCGGGCGTCTCTAGAGACGCCTGATCGCTTGTATGTAAACAGCCATCGCTGGCTGTTTACATGCTAACAGTTTTCCCTCTCGTGTGCGGCGCTCAGCGCGCGCACGAGAGGGGGGGAGGGGCAGGACGTCTTAAGACGCCCACCCGCTCTGAGCAGACTTCCGTCCGGCCGTTCACAAACGGCCATGGACGGAAGGTGGTTAAAGTGCCCAGTTTCATGTAAGCACAAGGTTTATCCATCAGGGATACCATTACAAAACATATACTTGTGCTCTGTTTATCCTGTATTCAGCCGTTTCACTGATCATGTTTGCTGTCATTTATTGATAGAGACTTGATCCAATGACTTGTGGTTTCTTCAATGGTCAGTGCAGTTGCATCAGCGGCCTGCTGTTTGTCTGTAAGAAAAATAAAAAGAATAATACATCTTACTAAAATTCCTGCAAGACTTCTGAATCTCCCTGTGCTCTGCTCTTTGAGATAGATAGAATGGAAACCTGCACTATGCTTTTAAGGAGCCCATTATTGCTGGTCTCCTTTAAAAAATGTTAGATGCCTCGCTATCATGCTGATCCAATGCCTTCAATCCTTTAGGTCAATAGCTGGAACAAGTATACAAATCAGAAGTTATGGCTTACCTATCTCCATGTTTGTTCCGGTCAAAGACTCAGAGTATGGAACTTAGCAAGATAGAGCCCAGCAACAAGCATTTCTATGAGAACAGCAATGGCAGCCTCCCTATATTTCTTAGTATAGATTTGCTCAAATATCTGTTGATACTGTATGTGATAATGTAAAAAGCAAAGGTGAGTTCTCAATGTAAATTCAAACTGAGTGGTACACTTTAGATGTCACACATCAGCAGAGGGATCTGCTTGAAGGTGAAGATGTATATAAAAATGCTAAGCAGAATAATGTATGATTTATATAATATATATAGCTATTCCTACAACCCCAATTCCAAAAAAGTTGGGACGCTGTGTAAAATCTTAATAAAAACAATGCAATGATTTGCAAAGCTCATAAACCCATCTTTTAGTCAATAGAAAACATATCAAATGTTTAAACTGAGAAAATGTACCATTTCAAGAAACAAATAGGGTAATTTTGACATTGATGGCAGCAACACTTCTCAAAAAAGTTGGGACAGGGCAACAAAAACTGGCAAAATAAGTGGTACTAACAAGGAGGAGCTGGGAGAACATTTTGCAACTAATTAGGTTTGTTGGCAACAGGTCAGTAACATGATTGGGTATAAAAGGAGCATCTTAGAGAGTCAGAGTGTCTCAGAAGCAAAGAATGGCAGAGCTTCACCAATCTATAAAAAGCTGCATCTAACAATTGTTGAAGAATTTCAGAATAATGTTCCTAAACTTAAAATTGCAATGACTTTAAATGTATCATCATGTACAGTACATAATATCATCAAAAGATTCCGAGAATCTTGAGAGATCTCTGTGCGCAAGGGACAAGGCTGAAACACAATATTTGATGCCCGTGATGAACAACCACTGTCTTACAGTATATCTTTCCAACCTGATAATTTGAGGCGTCTGAATACTTTACCAAAAATACCAGTGATAGGTGAGCTGATACTCTAAATGAAACTATGTATTGACATAGAATGGACAGACAGATAAAGCACCTTCCATGATGGACATTGCTTCCATTCCAGAAATGTTATCTTCTATTCCAGAAATGCATGATTTACTTTTGGTTTCACAATGGTTCATTTGTGACCTAATGGGAAACACTCAAAGGAAATAGAAACGGTTTTTGAAAACTAAAGACAAATGTGTTTGTATCCAACGCAGTGATGTTGGCTAATCAATCCATCTCTAGGATAACTGTATCAGCTGAAAACGTGACTGGCACAACATTCCTACCAATAATGTGAGTGAAATAATATGGCATTGCAGTTTTCTATACATTTAGTGCTCACTGGTCATGTACTGAACATTATATGCTGTGAGGAAAAGGAAATAAACCCAAGGGCCAAACAGAGACAAAGTGAAGAAAAGATCTGCAACAAGTCAGGTACAGGAACACTATGGCATTTGGTGTTTTGTGGGTTCCAAATGCAGATAGTACAAAGTTTTGATCTCTGCATGCTGCAGATTGTTCCTAATATACAGTATATACATAGAATGTTTTTTACAGTGCTAGCGTTTTCAACATACTTAGCGTTGCAGGTCTCTATGTATATGTAGCAAGTTTTAGGTTCAGATATGGTAGTCATTGGAAGTAACACTCTAATACTGAGAACCATAACGTGTTTCGGTTTCAGCAAGAGAATAGAAAATCCTTGCGTTTGTTGGGTTTACATTAGGTGCCATTTACTAGTATCGGTGCCGATGCTGAGTATGTGGGCGAGTACTCTCCCAAATGCTTCCGATGCCTAGCCCGATACCCGAGCTTCCGGTATTAGGAAGCCGGGCAGCGAGTCATTACACACTGCCCGGCTTCCTGATTGGCCAGGAAGCTGGCTCCATGCTCCCTCGTCATCATGGAGCCAGCTTCCCAGCCAATCAGGAAGCCAGGCAGCGTGTAATCATTCGCTGCCCGGTTTCCTGATTGGTCAGGAAGGCCATGATGAGAGAGCATGGAGCCGGCTGCCCGGTCAATCATGATGCCGGGCGCCGCGTCATTACACAGCGCCCGGCTTCCTGATTGGCCAGAAAGCTGGCTCCATGCTTTCTCGTCATCCCTGCTAATCGGGAAGCCGGGTAGTGAGTCATTACACGCCGCCTGGCTTCCTTAATGGGACTTCCGGTATCGGTATCAGCGAGTACCCGAAAAAAATATCGGTACTCGATACCGAAAAACCGGTATCGGTGCATCCCTAGTTTACATGATTGCAACCCTGCTGATTATGATGCTGATTGGAACTGATGATGCAGTGCTTGCAGCTGCAATTTAATTTACAGCCCAGTATGTCTTTAGCCTGCAATACTGATAGAGAAGGGATGGTTACACCCTTCCTTTCTTTCATCCTGGGTGGTAGAACATTTTATTTGTGCTGCATTATCCTAAATGATCTGAGTATTTAACTCAAATGTGGTATTTCAACCTAGTAAGTGCTGGAACATGACATATTTTCTGTAATCATACTGTACCTTGCACAATGATCCTTTGTTCCATCCTTTAATTTCCCAGAAGTCCTGTGGTACAATTGTGCTTTCCTTGAGCCTTAGGAGAAACAATTTAGTAAAGCATCTCATTAATGTTTTCCCCACCCAAAGATACTGTACTTCTAGTATAATTCTATAGCGGGGTAGGCAAGCTCCTGCCCTCCAGCTGAGGGGCAACTACAAATTCAATTAAGCCTGGCAAGACTCTTTCAGCCTCAGGCATGACTCCCAGAGGCAGATGTTTGATGGGATATGTAGTTTTACCACAGCTAGGAGGGCCAGAGTTTGCCTACCGCTGTCTATCGTATTTTATAGGTGGAACTTCTTAAAGCCGATTAATGTCTTCATGTTAAAGAAAAACACTGTCTGCAAATAGTAAGTCAGTGCCATTGTCTTATCCAGTTATGCCTTGCATTTTTCAGTGAAGCACTGCATTCTGGAACAGCCATATTTGTGAAGCCTCAGGACTGGATAGGGACTTGATTCTCTTTCCCACCTTCCCTACATCAAGTGAGATTTTGTGGGGCTTCAGACATCAGTGCAGCCTACACCTAAACTGGAGACTGACAAGAAGCTCTGAAAAGTTGTCACTATTATGACTAAAAGGTTTCCTTCCCTAAAGCTAAACTCAGAATTTCTTACCTCCCTCTAATATGGTCTTCTTTTGCAATGTAATGCAGCCACTGTAAAATAGCTCCCTCAATTTCCCTTATTTCCTGTTTATAAGACCGGTGGCCACTGCGCCCTCTCCTTCCTTGGGCCACCGGTCTTGTAATTTCTGCTTGTATTTCATTTTTTTCCAGCAGCAACAAAATTTCATTGCTGGCTGCACTGGAAGGACACAGGCATCTCAGGCTGAATTTGATTGACAGGCCAGGAGACTCCCTGGTCTGTCCCACCCACCATGACCAACAGGCCAGAAGACCCCTGGTCTGTCCTGCCCATTCACATTTGTTGTAATAGATTGGCAGACTCTGTAAATGAGCACATTGTTTCACTGTAAATGCCCCTTCTCACCACCACATGCAGCATATGCATATTGTCTATTGAAGAATAAAAGGGATGAAAATACAATGATCAGACACAACATTATAACCATTGAGAGGTGAAGTGAATAACATTGATTATCTTGTTACAATGGCACCTGGGAGGGATATATTAGGCAGCAAGTGAATATTTTGTGCCTAAGGTTCATGTGTTGGAAGCAGAAAAAATGGGCAAGTGTAAGGATTTGAGAAACTTTGACAAGGGCCAAATTGTGATGGCTAGAGGAGTGGGTCAGAACAACTCCAAAAATTGCAGCTCTTGTGGGATGTTCCCAGCCTGCAGTGGTCAGGACCAACCAAAAGTGGTCCAAGGAAGGAAAACCGGTGAACCGGCAACAGGATCATGGGTGGCCAAAGGCTTATTGATGCACTTGGGGAGTGAAGGCTGGCCAGTGTAGTTCGATCCAATAGAAGAGCTACTGTAGCTCAAATTGCTGAAAAAGTTAATGCTGGCTCTGATAGCAAGTGTCTGAACACACAGTGCATCACAATTTGTTGCATGTGGGGCTGCGCAGCCGCATGCCCGTCAGGGTGTCCATGCTGACCCATGTCCATCACCAAAAGTGCCTACAATAAGCACATAAGCATCAGAAATGGACCACGGAGCAATGGAAAAAGGTTGCCTGGTCTGTATTGCGTTTTCTTTTATATCCTGTGGATGGCCGGTTGATTGTGTGTTGCTTACCTGGAGAAAAGATGGCACCAAGATGTACTATGAGAAGAAGGAAAGCCGGCGGAGGCAGTGTGATGCTTTGGCCAATGTTGTGCTAGGAAACCTTGGCGTCGTGCCATTCATGTGGATGTTACCTTCAGACGTACCACCCACCTAAACATTGTTGCTGACCAAGTACTCCCCTTCATGGGAACGCTATTTCCTGATGCCAGTGGCCTCTTTCAGCAGGATAATGCACCCTGTCACACTGCACAAATGGTTCACGAATGGTCTGAGGAACACAACAACAAGTTTGAGGTGTTGACTTAGCCTCCAAATTTTCTAAATCTCAATCCAATCATCTGTGGGATGTGCTGGAAACACAAGTGTGATCCATGGAGGCCCCAACTCGCAACTTACAGGACTTACATGACCTGCTACTGGCAGCTTGGTGCCAGATACCAGAGCATACCTTCAGAGGTCCAGTGGAGTCCATGTCTCAATGAGTCAGGGTTGTTTTGGTGGCAAAAGGGGGGACCTACTCAAACTTAGGTGCGAGGTCATAGTTTTATGGCTGATCTGTGTATTTTAATCCTTTCTGTACTATGAGATATTAACTACTCGGACTGCCACAATTCCCAAACCATAATGGGAATTGTAGTTTGTTTCAGCGGCCCTGTAAGTGACATCAGCGGTTCCCTGATGCCTCTTCCGGGTGCCTTGGCATAGCTGTACTCTCTGTTTGTAAACAATAACAGTATCAACGTTCTAATTCTACGACTAAGCGCCTGTGTGCGAAACATGCTAGAAGTCTCTGTTCATCTCCTGAAGCCGTGTTTGAAATATTTAGATGTGCCACTCTCCACTTTTTATAATGTACTTTATTTAAAACTAGGTAGTTAAAAAAATAAAATAAAACTTTATAATATACATAGATACAGGAATAAATGGTGTAAACTGAAAACTATCCCGAAGTTCAGTTTTAAAACTTCTATTAAAAAGAAGCATTTTAATAATGGCAAATCTCATAAGTGTTAAAAAAAATATTTCTGGTATCTTTGGTCGAGTTACCCCTCCTCCCCCCTGTATATCTATTATATACAATCAGTTTTCTGTAATATCCCATACCACATCTTATCTGTGACTGCAGCTGATGGTCAAGTATGGCTCTCATGTTGCTGGTGCTGTAGATTTGGGCAATGCTGCATAAGTACCGTTTCTGTCCCATAGTCAGATCTGGGTGCTGAAATAAAAAACGTACAACCATAGCTCGATAAAACACGTAAATACAGTTTTCATTTAAAGATATGTAAACATATGAACCATTCTTAATCTTTTAGATTGTAAGCTCTCATGGGCAGGGCCCTCCTAACCGAATTGTAAGTGTAATGTTCCCCTTATATTGTATTAATAAATGTTTTGCCTGGAGATCTGCTTTAAGTATTCTAAAAAAATGAAAGTATACCTTAAGAAAGGCTGCATTCTTCATAGACTTGGGGATTTGTATTGTTCTGACTTGTGAACTGACAGGAACACTTTCAGACATGTTGTTATTTCTTCCCGCAGTCTTTTGTCCACAAGCACTGTTATAATGTAGTCCTAAAAAAGACCAGAAAATGTTCCACTTATAGTAAATAGGATTGACATTTTTAGCTCATGTTTAAAAAAAGAAAAGAAAAAACACTTGAAACAGCTTCCTTTACTAGGCTCTCACTCTGTTTCTTCTGATTGAAGCCCATGGTCCTATAGAAACAAAAAACATTATTTTACTGATATCCGCACTATGGTAAGCAATCGGCACAAGTATTACAAAGAAACCGAGAGTCAGCAAATGATTACAATATTTAGAAGACAGTAAGTGAAAACTAGAAGCTAAGAGACCCTAGAAGATGTACAGTATATCCATAAATCCCCAAACAATTCCACAAGGCATGGCAACATTAGATATAAAAAGAAACCAGTTAAAACGGGTGGACAAGTGAATATGGAATTTGAAGGCCAGCAGGATATTTTTTTAGGCGCCATCTCCATTGACAACAACGAGATAAAACCTCAAAAGTTAGATGACAGGTATGAATTTTAAGGAGCATTAGCAACCTGGCTCCTGGGATTTGTCCAACCCTGGCTTAGAATGTTACCCAAACAAGAGTCAATGACTGGATCACACAGAAATCTGGAGGGAAGATGTAGTAAGCCCAAACCTGCTATGCCTTCACCAGCCTGCTCTAGAACCAAAAAGTTTATCTAGACCAAATGGATATATTACAAACTAATGGCTGCAACTAAAGGCGTCATTACTAATGTAGCCTACCTAACTCTTAAACCAAGAACTTTCTTCATACTCCTATTTCTATAATTCCACATTTCTCCCCTAATAAATACCCTATTTTTCTCAACACCTTACCTAGGGTATGTCAAAGCTTCAAAAATAGCACATTCAATGATCCGGTTGGTAATAACTCTGAGAACAGATGTCCTTGTAAGGCACCTTGGTCATCTTCATCCAAGACATTCCCTCAACCAGCCCTCCCTACAATATCAATGGATAAGTCTGATCAATCCCTTTCAAGAAGCTTGCAAGGTACTACAATGAAATCGGATTTCATTACTAAAATATCCAATTTAAAGCAAAACATTTACTCTCAAGCAATGAGAACAACAATTCACATTCACCCATAAATGTTCTATAGCTAATAGGACACAGGAACATTTTACTATACTTTAGGCTACTCTAGTATTGGAGCAGAATGCCATCGGTCTTACAAGATGTCAGAAGTAGTTGGTGATCAGCACAAGGTAGTGGCCCTTGTAGGACATGCTCTAAAGGTGCCCATACACCTGCCGATTATCGTATGATAAGCGCGGGAAATCCCGCAATTGTACAATAATCGTTAGGTGTATGGAAGGCGTGCGACCGTTTCTACTGTACGGTCGCACGTGTTTTGTCTTACGAGCAGGCTCGAAAACCCGCACAGAATCGTACTATTGTCGGCGGGTTTGTGGCCTGCCCGTAGGACAAATGCCGCACGGGCCGGTGTGGGCAAGCGCACACTGCCCGTTCAGCATTGCAGTCATCGGAAGCCCGCCCCTGTGAGCTCCGCCCACCGGAGAGCAGCAGTGACGCGACGCTCGGCGAGGTAAGAAAAAAAAACAGCGCAAGCTTCGGCGCTAGGCATCGGGGCATTTTGACAAGTACAAGTACGATGCTAGCATCGGTATCGGGACATCCCTAGTTGTAAGGTGTATGGGCACCTTAAAACTGCCAAAGTTTAGTGCGCTTCTGGTCAGATATAGAGAGATTTATTGGCTAGGTAATCAACAAGCAATTAAAGTCACCTTAACTATTAACAAAAATGTATCTTATTTGTGTATCAGGACCGGTTCACACCAGAAAACTCCGCGTACCAGTGCGCTCGGCCTCAGCTGTAGATCCTCAAATCACCTCTGAATTGTGTTGTAAAGTAGTCGCCGCTCCAAACTCGCTCCTGTGATGGACTACAATCTCACTTTTAGTTTACTGATTTGTATTGTGATTGTAATCCATCACAGGAGCGAGCTTGGAGCGATGACTACTTTATAACACACACAGGGACCATGGGGAAGAAAAGTAGTCACCCTCCAGAAGGAAGGACAGTGTCAGCACCAATTCAGAGATGATTTGAGGATCTACAGCCGAGTGATACACAAATAAGATATATTTTTGTTAATAATTAAGGTACATGAATGAAGTAGGATTGAACTCCTGAGTTTAATGTCATTTTAAACAATACGCAGCCTTTTTTCTTCTCCATTATGACTAGCTTCCCTTTAAATTGTGCAAAACGAAACCTTTCTGTGTCACTATGGAAGCACAGCAATGTCTAGGCTACAGCTGAACAAATTCCAGACAAATCAGCACCAGTTGTACAATGAAGGTTGTACTCCTAAAGCCAACCATTGGCATATCATATGAGCTTTAACATTGTATGCCATTTTAAAAGCGATTTTTAATCTTTTTAAATCTGCAGTTTTCATTAAAAGGAGTCTCTTACTTTGCGGAGGTGCCAACTGTCTTCCAACTCTGCTCGTACACTGTCAGCCTGTCACATGCGCCCCTAATGGTGACAGCAAGCAGCTGGGGGGTGGGGGCACTGGAGGATGCCGGACCAGGATGTAAGGGGCTCTGTCTGGTGCCCTGCCCAGCTCATTGCCAGGAGCTTGGTGGTGAATAAAAGGTATATCACCGGCACACACTTGAAAAGATATTTAAAGTATTGATATGTTTTTTCAATACCAGATGTCACATACTGTCATACAGTGCTAACATTTCGGGTCTGCACAGGGAACCTTCATCAGAGCGACAGTGACATGATGCATAGATGAACATACAAGTATAAATACACATCAATCCCAGGGAGCTTGGTGAGACGCAAACCAGAGCATCCCGCTCAGCTCTTGGCAACCAGTGATGTCAGTGAGCTGGGTGGGACACAAGACAGAGTGTCACAGGTTGCTAAGAGCAACCTGTGCGCAGCGCTTTACAATATAAGGAAGACATTACAATCACAATACAGTTCAAGACAAGATGGTAAGGAGGGCCCTGCATGTTAGGGCTTACAATCTAAAAGGGAGGGGCAAATGATACATGAGGAGGTAGCTGTGTGGGGATGAATTGTTTGAGAACGTGACAGTTCCGTGGTTAGGTTGAGGTGGGATAGGCTTCCCTGAAGAGATGAGTCTTAAGGGATCGCCTAAAGGCAGTCAGTGTGGGAGATAGACGGACAGGTTGGGGTAAAGCGTTCCAGAGGATGGGAGAGACTCTAGAGAAGTCCTGGAGGCGAGCATGGGAGGAGTTGACGAGGGAGCTGGAAATCAGAAAATAATTTGAAGAGCGGAGGGGACGGTTAGGGTGATATTTAGAGACAAGGTTTGATATATAGCCAGGGGCAGAGTTGTGGATGGCTTTGTAGGTGGTTGTTAATATTTTGAATTTTATCCTTTGGGCTATTGGAAGCCAGTGCAGGGATTGGCAGAGGGGGTTGCAGACACTGAGCGGCTGGTTAGGTGAATGAGTCTAACAGCTGCATTCATAATAGACTGGAGGGGGGATAGCCTGTGTAGAGGTCAGCCAATGAGGAGGGAGTTGCAGTAGGCAAGACGAGAGATAAGGGAGTGGATGAGTAATTTAGCAGTTTCATTGGTGAGGAAGGGGCGTATTTTGGAGATGTTACGGAGAAGGAGGAAGGGATTTGGATAGGGATTGGATGTGGGGAAGAAAAGTGAGGTCCGAGTCAAGGATGACACCTAGGACCTTGGCATGGGGGGAGGGCTGGATAGTTGTGTTAACAATCTCAAGGGAAAAGATGGGGGAAGGTGCACGGGCAGGAGGAAATATCATGATCTCAGTTTTTGAAAGGTTGAGTTTTAAGAAATGTTGTGACATCCAGACGCATATGTCAGTTAGTAGGTTAGTGACACGCAAGGACACTAAGGGGGTGAGTTGTGGAGTGGAAAGATAAATTTGAGTGCCATCGGCATAGAGATGGTATTGGAAGCCATGTGAGGTTATTAACTGACCAAGAGAGGAAATGTAGATGGAGAAGAGAAGGGGTCCAAGGACAGACCCTTGGGGGACCCCTACAGAAAGAGGAAGAGGAGTTAGATTTGTAGGTGACACTAAAGGAGCGCTTAGATATGTAGGAGGAGAACCATGAGAGAGCAGAGTCTCGTAGGCCAAGCGGGTGGAGTTTTTTGAGGAGGAGCAGGTGGTCCACAGTGTCAAACGCAGCAGAACAGTCTAATAGCAAGAGTAAGGAATAGTGGCCATTGTTTTTAGCTGTTAGTAAGTCATTACTGAGTTTTAGGAGGGCGGTTTCCGTGGAGTGTTGGGGGCAAAAGCCAGACTGTAGGGGTCCAAAAGGATTGTTTATAATACACAGTGTACGGCGCACACCAAATGTCATTCAGCTAGAGGTTACAGCTACATCCGCACTGTTCCTCCCAGAGCACACTAGTGTAGCTGGCTGCTGTGATCAGTGTTGTCAGCTCCCTGCAGGAACTTACCAGCTCACTGGATTTCTGGCAGAATCAGCAGGTATTTTTTTGCACTTATCGAACAACTATGACAAAACAATTTAAATGGTATATTTAACAGACCAAAAGTGAGCAAATTAGAAAAGTGTATAGTTGGGGTTTAAATACTTAAAGAAGAACGCCGGGTAATTTTTTTTATTAACCCTTGTAGTGGGGCTACCCTGGCACTGCAAGGGTTAACTGCTCATTTTGGTCTAGGGCTGAAAATAAAAAAAGTTATACTTACCTGATCCTCAGAGCCGGCTTGCTCTTAGACCGGTCCTTCCAGCCTTGCTCCCCCTCCTCTACAGCGGTCTAAGGTCCCTGAGTCAACACATTCAATACAGTGTGTAAAGGACGTCAGAACGCTGAGGGACATGCCATTGCTGCAGTGGAGGGGGAGACAGGCAGGAGGGAGCGCCGTCACAGTCGGCTTGGAGGATCGGGTGAGTATAACTTTGTTATTTTCCACCCTAGACAAAAACAAGCAGATAACCCTTGTAATGCGGGGGTAGCACCACTGCAAGGGTTAATGAAAACATTGCCCAAAGGAGTTCTTTAAACACTGGGAGGGGGATTTATTATAACTGGAGCAGCTGTGCATGACAACCAATCAGCTTCTTTCTTCAGTTTGTTCAGTTAATGTGACATTAAAAAGTCAATGTTTCCCCCCCCCCATGTTAGTCAGCACTTACCTTAAATGATGTCTCTTAATCCGATCTTCCTCCTCTTTCCAGCGCTGCTGCGGGTCTCCGATCCAGCGCTGACTCCTCTGAGCTTGCTGGCACTTCCTGTCACACGGTGTCTGCATGCGGGTGCACGCGTCCATAGACTTACCTTGTGTCTCTCCTCGTCTCCCAGCCGAAAATCCGAACTGCGCGTGCGCCCGCCCCAAGATGCTTTGAAGCCACCCAAGCAGTTTCGGATTTTTGCCGGGCGGGAGCGCGCGGCAAAGACGGGGTAAGTTTAAACCGCTGTTAAAGCGTTTTTTGAAAAACTGTTTGCATTAATCTACTGCTTGCTAGCCGTAGATATATGCAAAAAAAAAACCGGAGGGTTTAGAAACCCTTTAAGATTTGAAAATGAAAGAGAGAAGCTGATTGGTTGCCATGCCCAGCTGCTCCAGGTTTTGTCTGCTCCAGTTTTGATGAATCCCCCTCTGGGTATTTTTTTTAATGTACAACAAAACAAACAAAAAACAAGATTTTTTTCTCTGCCTTACAATTCCATATGTCTGATTTTAAAACTAAAGAGTGAGAAAAATCCTGTAACTTGACCTTGCATTTTCTATTAATAAGAGATCATGGGACAATCAATGAAGTCCCCTTACCTTGCTGGTGTCCTCTGGCATGGCTCATGATCTGGGGAGTGATCTCCTGATGTGGAATTGTGACCCTCCATGTTCAGCACACACGTCCTCACCCCGCTCTCCAGGAATACACGTCGCCATGGTTATTTGGACACTGGGGAGATGACAGCGCAACCATCGCAGCTTGCAGAAGCCAGGCACCAGCTGCGCATGCTCATTACATCTGTGGCTACAAGCAGTTTAGGAGCTAACATTTGCCCCGTATTGTTATTGTAATAATGAAAGGTGTGATGATAACGAAGAGACAGGTCTGCGCACTTACATTGATAAAACAATATCGTGCCTGTGTTTTTCTTTTTGTACTTGTGTTCAGCTTGGGGTACTCCGTTGTACCTTTGGGATGATGAGTTGTTTGGACTGTCGCGGCTTCCTTCCTGAACCCGGAAGTAAAACACATGTGAGGCAGCGGTGCTGGCTGAGGCTTGTGTGGCGGTCTGTACGGTAATCATTATGCCTCGCTACGCTCAGCTGGTTATGGGGCCAGCGGGCAGCGGAAAGGTGAGACTGGTGTCTATTATGACCTGACATGCTTCCTTCCATCATAGCACTTTTTTTCTTCTATCCGCTGAAGAGAGTGGCTTGCTAATATGGACCCATGCTGGTGCTATGGATTTGACATCTGACCTAGAGGAGGTAAATGGAAACCGGTCGTAAGGAAAAATGAAGGCTGTCACTACTGAGCTCTACTTTTAAAAATGCACGTTGCTTGGTTGTCAAGCTCCGAGTCATGGACAAGGATAACTTGGGCAGATAAGAAAACCTGGAGGAAAGGCACAAGTCCTTATCTGCATGCTTGTTCGGACTCACATGCTCGAAGTATTGAAGCCAATGATAATTAATATTAGCAGAGAATGGTCATCAATGGCATTCCTCCTCTTTTGTCTCATGTCAGGTTTATTTTAAAGGGGCAGCAGTTATCTGTCACCCTGGAAGCTGCCATCCAGTACTAGAAGTTGGGATAGTATGACTTCAGGAGACGGTAATCCTTTTCATGAAGGAAGATCACCTTATGTAATGTAGCAGAGGCATATTGTGCCCCAGAACTAATAGCACTTCTGGGAGTCAGGCAGTGGCAATTTCCAGCTATGGATGGAAGCCTTGGCTATGACAGGTTCTCTTTTAATTAAAGCCTAAAATACAAATTTGTCTTTTTACATTACTCTGTCACTGAACCTTATTGCAGGTTTTATTGTGTAGCACTGGTAATACAAAGCAAACACTTGGTATTGCTTGCAGTCTCTTCCACATAGCACCACTTCCTGTGATGTCCTGACAGCAATTACTACTGCTGCAAATTCCACGGTGGAGGTTGTCTGATTATGTCTTCTCTTCTGGACTGCAGCCTACATGAAGCCATGCTGATGCACTGTGTGCCTGTTATTTTGGTTGCCCGGTATCTAAGATTGGCATGCCCGATATTCAGATCTGCATTGAATGATTGACAGGGCTAGGGGGGCCCTTTATCTTTTACAATAATTTTTATTAGGTTTTCAAAGAAAGTAATCTAACCGTGCACCTTTAGCGCAGTAGATTTTCATACAGTAATGTTTGACAGTAAGGATTGGTTGCATCAACAGATATTGTGCTCCACACTTCTCAAGAGCAATGAGATGGGAGTTATTGCAGTCATATGGCCACTGTTAGGGCTAGTTCACACCAGCTGTAGTTGTGATGCAGTTTGTTCAGTTTGGCAGCTGCATCCAAAATGCATCACAATGCTTTCCAATGAGATTTCTGGTGCTCTGTTCACACCAGTGCAGTCCGTTGTGATGCAGTCAGAAAATATACTGCTTGCCCTATTTTAGCCGCATCGGATCACAACGGAATGCATGCAAACGCACTGGAAAGCACCTGAAATCCCATTTTAAGCAACAAAAATGCATCAATCGTGGTAAAATCACGGCAAAGTGCATCACATTGCAGCTCTGCAGATGCACACAGTTCTGGTGTGAACTAGCCCTTAAAAAACACATTGTGTATGGTATTTTGAACAGTTTTGTTTTATAGTAATGCAGCATTTTTTAAGTTATCTAATATCGCTGATTGCCTGCTTAAGCAGACTACTTCACAAGTGCTGTAAAGTAAAATTCCAGAAAGGGTCTTTTGTGCAATTTTGGGTGAAGTAAGTATTAAGTGCAAGGTACATGTATCTCCTTCACCAAATATACTGCTGCAAAATCCAGGCTCTCCCTGTTGTTTGCTTGCTGGAAAGACTAAACATCTCCATTGACGTGTGGGGCCAACTACTGTTACTCAAATGATTCAGAACACGGCTACCAGAAGCATGCAAGGAGAACTATGATCTTCAGCAGCATATCTGGCAAAGCATGTATTGATGGTAACTAACTTGCTGCTTTGCCATAGTACACATCATAAATTACTAACAGTAGCTCCAATAATATCTATCTGCATATTTCCAACTATTACGCTTTCAAAAATCATATATATGTGTGTATATATATATATATATATATTTCGACTATCCTGTTATGGCTGGTAAATTAATTCTTGACTGTTTTTAAACTGTTCTGCTGATCTGCAGCATGTAATGTATGATCCTGGAAACAACCGAGTGTCTATTTGTCTTAATTTGCTTGTGATTACTGCATTTTAATATGAAGTCAATACAGAGTACATGGTATGGGGGTATGGCGTTAGTTAGACCTATTTTTAATAGTAAATCTCAAGCAACTGGAAACAACATTTATCCGGAATCTACCAGTCGCTGTGGATGCCGGATAACAGGGAGTTTATTTTACATACACAGTATATCTTTACATTCTGGCAGATTTGACTTCACCATGCTGGAGCCTGTAATCTCTAGTTTGTGCATTTTACATCACTTTCATTGTTCACCCCCTGGTGTAGATTGTGTCATAAGAAAAGAGGCCTATGTTTTAAACACTACTTTATCAAAAGTGTGCTAATAATTATACACTTGGATTCATTATTGTTTTGTAATATATATGTGTATGTATGTATATAATAATCTCTGGTTAAAGAGCAGTGTATGACATTATGCTTTATGTGGCCTTGATAGAGGCTTAAAGGAGAACTATGGGGTTAGGGCTTTTCCCCGTAGTTCTCCTTAGGGTAACGGGAGGACACAAACTAGCGTTCACCGTCACCCTAAGCTTAGTATACCGCGAGCTACAGCTCGCGGTATATTGAGACGCCGCAGCTGAAGCGTATCCCGTCCCCTCCCCCCTCCGTTCCGCCAGTCAGCGCTGGCGGATCGGAGAGGGGGAATCCAGTCCCTCCCCTGTCACGGCAGAGAGCCGTGGCAGGATCGAGAAGTGAGCGAACACCGGTATGTGTTCGCTCACTCCCGATCTACTGAGCCGACCTGTGACAGTCTCATTGTCACAGGTCGGCTAGAACTATGAGGTGAGTGAAAAGCACTCGCCTCATAGTTCTCCTTTTAATAAAAGATCACTGTACACTAATGTAAAATGTAGCTCCAGACAGGACTTTTTAATTTTTTTTATTTTCTGGATAGCATGGAGAAGAGTTAGAATCTCTATCATTTTGTTTTATTGCTGTCTGGTCCCTATTGGGGAGATTTCTCCTCACTTTGTGTGCCTGTGACTACTGTCACAGCCTCTGCTGTGATAGGCTGTATGTCCCCAACAGGACTGCAGACAAGAATAAACACCTAACAGAGTTTCTTACCCTTGCCCTTTCTGTTTCTATTGTTGTGTCCCTGTTGAAGAGATGTACGGTCTTTTCCTGCCTTGGTAAAACTGTTAATTGGAAGGGATTGAGGTAATTTCCTTCTCCACTCTAATTCAAACTAACAAAAAGAAACTTTTGGCTGGAGTTTCACTTCATGGGTATGCTACTAATTACCTGCTGCTTGGATGAAAAAATGTTCCTGATCACTAGTGTATATGCTTTGTTACAGATATCCGGGAGCTGATAGAAGTAGATGATGTGATGGAAGACCGCTCTCTCAGATTTGGCCCTAATGGGGGCCTTGTATATTGCATGGAATATTTTGCTAATAATTTTGACTGGCTGGAGAGTTGTTTGGGACATACTGAGGATGACTATATACTCTTTGACTGCCCAGGTAAGCCTGTAAGTTATGATAGTCTTCCACAACATTACCTTCATCAATCTAAAAAACACATGCAAGTTGTCTGAGTGTTCAGGATGAAATGTATTCATTTTCAAATTATACACCTGAATACAACAAATAAAGGGCATCACAATCCACAAGAAGAATTGAGATAGATTTTCAGTAGTGACACCCAATAATTAACATGAAAAAGGGAGTAACATAGCACAACTTACATTCCGAATCAAACAAAAACTTTCAAAAACGTGTATCTGAACAATTCCAGGGGATCATAAGAAGAAAAAGCATCGGGTGGGAGACCTGGCGGTAAACTCCGACCGTCTGAAATAATGGATCCAAGAACAAACATTCTACTCCCTACAGAGCGGAAGCACTCCCCGGAAGGCACACAAAGAAAAGATATCTAAGATAAGCAACACAAGAAAGGAAAGGACATAAAGTCAAGAGCTAAAAGGGGACAGTAAAACCAACCCGGTTGATGTGCGGTTTTAGCTCAGGACAAATTGAGGAAATGTTTTACCTCTTGGCAAACAGCATATTAAACCTGAGAAATGTTCTGACCCCTCACTTCTTTATCCAAAGTTAAGAAAAAGGATTTGGCTTTAGATACTTTTATATATTTGAGATACTGATATGTGATCCAGGATAGGATTCTCCACAACAACCATATTATTATAGCCTGTCTTTTTTTTTTTTTCTTCATAGGTCAGATTGAGCTGTACACTCACCTGCCAGTTATGAGGTACCTGGTAGAACAGCTCCAACAGTGGGAGTTTAGAGTCTGTGGAGTCTTCCTTGTTGATTCTCAGTTCATGGTGGAGTCTTTCAAGGTAGGATTTACAATCAGAAAAAAATACAGCTTATAAATGGTGAATAAATTAATGTAGGATTCTAGAGGCAGCAGACTACTGATACTGTTCTTGGAATTTGAGCATATGTTTACATACACGTTTTAGTCTTGTTGGCATGTCTGGCCCTATTGGCTCAGATAGGGGAGGCAGTGAGCAGAGCCCCTAAATTCAGCTTCTGTGCTATCCAACATAAACATGACTAAATAGAAAAATGTATTAATTGTTCTACAGCCTTCTTTACCCGCTGTCTAGGTTAGAGCTGCAGCTAACGATTATTTTCAAAATCGATTAGTCAGCCGATTATTAAGTTCGATTAATCGGTTAATCGGATAAACAATCAATTAGATTTTAAAAAATGGCTCCAGTGATGGGACTATTAGTTTGTATTGAGATTGCAGTCCATCACAGTGGCAGGCTTGGAGCGGTGGAAGTAAAAAAGAAAAAAAAAAAAGTGTGGTGTGCAATATAGTGAGATGAAAAGTGTAAAATTATACAGCAATTAATGCAGAATGGCACCGGCTATAGAGGACTCCAAAACCCAGCAATAATACATTATACTATTAGTACAATTTACAATACCACCAGCTATACAAATCCTAGCAATAGTACATTATAGCTGGCGGTATTCTGCATTGCGCTGTATAATGTACTATTGCTGGGTGTTGTAGTCCTCTATAGCTAGTGGTATTCCGCATTGCACCTCTGTATAATGTATGGCTATTGCAATTTAAAATAACCAATAACAGGCTGGATATTGTTTCCAGCCTCTGATGGGAGACTTGACGTCGGTGTTCTATCAACTCAAGAAAAAGGGGACGAGGAGCAGAGAAGGGAACGGTGCGGGCAACGGAAGTACAGAGGGAGCGGGGGATTGCAGAGTCACCACAGCCTCTTCTCCCCGCTGGTGCCGGCTACAGTGGTCTGTGTCCCCGCTGCCTCTGCCGATACAGGCGGGGGGTGAAAGGGGCCCCAGCAGCTGC